GAAATGAGATTGATCAAGCACAATCATTTCTGAATTACTGAATCACTCCACTCGAAGATCATGGAGCATCAAGAGAGAGACATATACGAGCATATTCAAATTGTGCAATATATGATCGAAGACATCAGAATGAATTGGTCCTTGGTTCAATCACCCTTGGACACTTGTTTGGGCCTTTTATCCCTTTCTTTCATAACCATGAACCATGACCTACGTTACGTGCCTTAAAAGTCCATTCTAATCATACATGGATTTCTAAACAGAAGAGACTATCTTCAAATTTCATCCCGCTCATCAGGATTAATCTTTATTTGCAAAAAATAGTGTAATTAATGCATGATAGAAAAAAAATAATAAAAGGGGGTTCAAGACGTAAATTACAAATGACGTCTTGAAACCAAAAATAGATTTGATCTTGGCACGTGTCAAACGATTATAATTTATTGAAGGATTAACAATGTAATTAATTCTTTGATATCCAATGAACTCTAGTTTTATGATTTGTCTCAATTGTAAAACCGTGAAAGGGGCAATATTTTCAAAACTTTTGGTTAAACATTTTTCGAAACTCTTTTTTGATATTTTCAGAACTTTGAAAATAAAAAAGAAAGAAAAACATTTTTTTTTCAAAACAATACAATCTCTCTAGAGTGGATCTTGCTAAATGACATGTGGCTCTCAAACACAAAACTCATGCTTAGAATCAATGCTGAAGCAAGAAATCAGGAACAATGAGGGCATCTTTAAAGATTCAATATCAAATGTTGGGGCATTTTTTGAGATTCAACATCGAATATTGAGGCATCTTTGGGAATTCAACATCCTGATGCAAATTATCAGACCTTTTGAAGGTATTTCCTCCATATGCAGGAACAAGTACACAAAGCAAGAGACTCCATCCAGGGGATAAAATAGAACTAATTCATGTTACATGCATCTTAAATATACTTAAGAGCATCACATTTATCATTTTTTGTATACATAAGTTTTTGCAGCTTTTAGAGTCAAGTTTCAACTTCAAGATGAAGGATGCTCGATTCAAAAGCACATGGTGGTTGCTCTACCTCACAGCGAAGGGGCGACTGTCTGACAACAAAACAACTTTCCAGTTTCAATCAGAGTCAATTTCAACTTCACGGCGAAGGATATTGAACTCAAAGCGACACAATTCGCTTGAGGGTAGATTTCAACTTCACGACGAAAGATATCTAGCTCGAAGTCAAACTTCACAATAAAGGGGTTATCCACAGTTTTGACTTCACGGCGAAGGGAATTGTGTCCACCCGCAACATACAATACTTGGATTTCAACTTCACAACGAAGTATATCCAAGTCAAGGCTCAACTTCACGACGAAAAGGCCATCTGCGATTTCAACTCCACGACGGAGGATATCGTGCCACTCGAGACAACACAAGTTCAACTCCACAACGAAGGGACGGCTGGTTGTCAACAAACAATTTCCCAATTTCAGAGCCAATTTTAACTTCACAGCGATGAATATTGGACTCGAGACAACACAAGTTCAACTTCACAACGAATGAATGACTGGTTGTCAACAAACAATTTCCCAATTTCGGAGCCAATTTCAACCTCATAGCGAAGGATATTGGACTCGAGACAACACAAGCTCAACTTCATAGCGAATGAATGGCTGGCTGTCAACAAACAATTTCTTAGTTCCAGAGCCAATTTTAACTTCACGGCGGAGGATATTGGACTCGGAACAATACAACTTACTTGGATTTCAACTTCACGATGAAGGATATCCAATTCCAAGGCTCAACTTTACAACGAATGGGTCATACACGGTTTCAACTTCACGACGAAGGGAATCGTGCTCACCGTTGTCTCTCTTGAGACAGCTTCCAAGTTTCCCTTGAAACAAAATATTTGAATATGTTTTCATTGAAACTAATTTTGTCTCCCTTGAGACATTTTCTTTTGGAACTAAATTTTGTCTCCCTTGAGACAGTTTCTCTTGAAACATAAACATTGAAAACATTTCCCTTGAAATGAATTTTATCTCGATTGAGATAGTTTCCCTTGAAACGAAATTTTATCTCCCTTGAAACATAAACATTGAAAACATTTCCCTTGAAATAAATTTTATCTCGCTTGGGGTAGTTTCCCTTGAAACAAATTTTTGTCTCCCTTGAGACAGTTTCTCTTGAAACATAAACATTGAAAACATTTCCTTTGAAATTAATTTTGTCTCTCTTGAGATAGTTTCCCTTGAAACAAAATTTTGTCTCCCTTGAAACATAAACCTTGAAAAAGTTTCCCTTGAAACACAAAATATTTAAATCAGTTCCCCTTAAAACGAGTTTTGAGACAGTTTCCCTTGAAACAAAATCTTTGAATATCTTTTCCTTGAAACAAATTTCGTCTCCCTTGAGACAGTTTCTTTTAGAACTAAGTTTTGTCTCTCTTGAGACAGTTTCTTTTGAAACAAATTTTGTCCCTCTTGAGACAGTTTCTCTTGAAACACAAAAAAACCCTCAAAATTGTTTCTCTTGAAACACACACACAAAAAACCTTTGAAAATGTTTCTCTTGAAACACCAAACCCTCGAGTTCTTTTACACTCAGCTTCGAGGGCACATCATTTATAGCATAACTCAAGGCTAGAAGGGTTATCTGTCACCAAACGACCTTCGAGTTCGACTATGCTCGGCTCTAAGGCATATAATTTATAGCATAACTCAAGGCAAGAAGGGTTATCTGTCAATAAAATTATTGAGTTTGATTCCATTCAGCTCGATGACACCTCAATCACACTATTGTCCGGCTTCAATCGAGGTTTTTCAAGCCGAGAAGAAGGTTTGGGTTAGTCGTGCCTTAGTAGCAAGAAGCCTTTTTTCCGTCAGCATAGCTTAAGTCGAGAAAAGCTATATGTCAGCGAAGACTTTTCGAGTTCGATTTCATTCAACTCGAGGGCATATCAACCACATTGTGGAGTCAAGAGATTACTTTCCAGTCAAATTTTTAGCCAAGTTCTTTAAACCGAGAAGAAGACCAAAGTGGACTACAACGAGAATCCACATTCTAATTCAAATCATTTCAAGATGGACTCGACTTCGCGACAGAGGAGCCATCCGCAATTCAATTCGACAAGGAGTTATTATTCAATTCCACTGAACAAAAATTTGTGTCTTTTTATCTTTGTCCTATTTTTCGTTCCACGAAAAAAGACAAAGAGAGGCAGCTGTAGACACCCATTTTCTTAAAAGATAGAACTAACAAGAGTTTCTCTCATAGGACGACTCTTCCACAACCATATCTTTTAAAGCAACAACCACACCAACAAACGTGCAACAACCGAGCAAAGAGTCTAGTTGCATTATGATTCTATTGTTAATAGGATTCTAAAAATAGTTAGTTTTTTTCACTATAAATACATGTAATCCTCCCCATTTGTAACACACGATTTACATACAAAATACATAGGAAAACACAAAAAATACAAAGGCAAAGCTATTGTAAACGATTCGAAAAGGAAATAAAAGGTAGCATCTTTTTTACTTTTGATTCGGTCTCTTACATTTACGTTTTAATTATTATTATTTTATTTATTTAACTTTATTTATACGCACATTTCCTTTGTTACTCATTTTATTTAATTGTTTTGTTATTTTTTTTCTTTTTTTTATGTAATATTTTTTTACATTTTATGCATTTTCTTTTTTACTTCAGTATATATTTTTATTTTTTAGATTAAATATATATATATATATATATTATTTTTTTTATTATCAGTTTTATTAATTTATATATATATATATATATTTACTATTTTTTTATTTTTTATTTATTATATATATATATATTATTTTTACTTTTTTATTATTATTTTATTTATTTGTTTTATTTATATATTTATATATATATTTTTTATTTTTTTTATTTATTTTACTTACTATTTTATATTTGCTTTCTTTATCTTATCTTTTATTTAATTTGTTTTTTCTTCATTTTAATTTAATTTATTTATTTATTTCTTACCTTTTTATCTAACATAGTTTTTTGACCTTCTTAAGGCCACACATTTAAAACTATCTAAGGTAAGTAATTGTGATCGTATTTTTACCTTATAATTTTAAATTACAATTTTCTTAATTTAAGACAACCGGCAAATTAATTGGTACCGAAAGGGCGGTTCAAGGGTGTTACTCCTTCCTTGACCGTAACCGACTCCCGAACCCGACACATTTCTGGTAAAAACGCAGATCAGATAAGATGGTGTCCGACCCACCTAAATTCGTTTTAAAGTGGTCGGTGGCAACTTCCAACCCAATTATTTCAAGTCGAAGCCCAATTTCGGGCCCAACCGAAAGACGGTTACGACATGTTCGAATCGTTTAAGTTTATGAACATGCTTATTTATTAACTCATTTATTGACTCGTTTATCTTGTTATCATTTTTCTTTTAATTTTTTTATATTTTTAAATATTGGTAAAAGTAGGGACTAAATTAGTTACAAGGTAAATTTTAGAGTTCAAATTGTGAAACATAAAAAGTTTAATGAATAGTGACTTAGTTTCACCAATTTTTTTGTTGTTTTGCAAGCAAAAGGATGTAAAGGAGACTGTTGATCGGCGGGCGGTAGACCAAAGTTTAACTAATATTAAAATTAAATAAACGAACAATCTAAAAAAAATGAATTATACATGAATAATTTTAAAAATAAATAAATGAATACAAATATGATGTTAAAAATTTAAACGAAGACTAATCAAAAAAGATAAATAAAATAACACAAACATAAACTTATTCGTTTAAACCCAATTAATTTACAGCCCTAAGCCCTACGCTCCAATTTTATTGTAAATTATTACGAGTGATTAAAGTGAAAATGAAACTCAAGTCTGATAACATGTCTGTAATATTTGTGTGACCAAAATGGAAAGTTTTGATAATGGGGTGACCAATTTATGTTGTTTACCTGAAAAATAAACGAAAATAAAACAGAATTCAAGTCCGTGTTCTTTCTCAACGCGCTGTCAATCATACTCTCCGGGGATCCCAACGAAATATTTTCTCAGACACAAAGAATTCACAAGCTAAATCCTTATTTTACCCGTACATCTCCATATCTCTCCTGAATTCCTTGAATCTCAATATTTTCTCAAATTTCATCCAAAAATAGTAACTCTGGAAAATAACTTTGTCCCTTTTGCGAATATGTGTAGAATTTGATTCTATTTTTTTTTGCTTTGAGGACGGCAAAATTTTGGAAAAGCGTCGTTTCATTTCATTTTGGAGCTGCTCGGAGTAAGTTTATGGAAGAGTTTGGTTGAAGTTTTATTGCTGTCAAAGCCGATTAGAAGTGAATTTTTCTGGTTCAAATTTGAAGAACTTTCGATGAAATAATTGGCTTTCAACCATCAGCACGGGAGGGGCTTTGACGGGCAAGGTGAGCTTGTTAGATTAGGTGGTTTTGTCTGAGTAACTTTAGGAGCTTAATTTTGTGAATTTAGGGTTTCTCTTTGATGAATTTGACTTAAATTTGATTTTAGTTATATGTTTTCTGGTTTTGGCTTTAAAGCAGCGAGACTGGTTACAGCTCGTGAAGCTTAATTTAGAATGGATAGTTTGTACTTTTGGGAATTAAGTACGTTATTGTATAGTAAACTATAAAAGTTAATAATAAAAGCAAGATCATAATTGTTCTAGAAAACAAGTAATCAACAAACGAATAAAGTACAATGTCAATTCCAACATTAATGTTCTATTTAAAAGTAAAGAATCAAATATTTTCTTTCTTCAAAAAGAAATAAAATTTTAATTTTTCAAAATATATTTTGCTTTTGTATCCAAACCTGCATATATTAGCGAAAAGCAAGTAGCAAAAGTGACAACTGGTTACTGCATGATTGACACTTTGATGCATAATTAGGAGCTCTCTAAGTAACTCCAATTTGTTAAACCAAGAACCCAAAGTTAACTTGTTAAAGACCATAATTAGCGAGTAGTGTTGTCTGCAAGGGGTGTGTGACTTTATTTGAGCAGTAAAAATACAGATACTGCTTAATATTTTAAACATTATGGCAGCAAAATTAAAAACAGAATAGTAAGCTTATAGCTTGTTTAGTTTATTGAGGTTTATATTTTAGCTGAAGTTTACGACTTTGTACTTTTTTATTCTCTCCAGGTTTGTATCTTTTCTATCTTAACAACTTAGCAGCTTGCTCTCTCGCTTCTATTGGTTTGGAGCAGCATTTTCATAGAGGTTTGGTAAGATTGATTTTGAAGGATCTGTCATGGACTATGGGCTTTCTGATAGCAGTGGTGAGTTGAAATAAAACATTCTGTTTCAATTTACTTTTTACCCCTATAAATTTGATGATTTTGAGATGGGAGAGATTTTTTTCCAGCTTGGTTTGTTGATGCAAAAGTTACCTGGTTTCCCTTGGTTTATCTTGAGTGAACTATTAGGGTTCATGAAGCCTTTAATACAATGCGATAGTACCTTGCATTCACAAAAGATAAAGCTTCCCTTTTTCTCAACACCCCTTTCTTTATCAGTTTTGCAAATTCTACATCATTTGGAAGTGTTCTGCTATGTATTTAATGGGTGGCTTGATGAAACAATATAACTTCTGGTAACTTTATCAAAGATTCTGGACCTAATCAGATTGTTTATATTAGTTATTTGTTTTTTTTACCGTAAGGGTAACAGAAATGCTCGAATGATTTGTTTTTATTTCTGATGCCTTGCATATATCATGTTACATCCTAGAAACTTAAATCAAATATGATTGTCCCATCTGATATAACTGCAGGAACAGATGATGACCTCCCTACTTCACATCAGAATAGATTTCAAAGACGGGGTCATACTGCTGCTGGAAATGGAAGATCAGCACTTATAGGGTCTGCTCCTTTGCGTAGGATGCATGGTGACATGGAAACACAAATCCATATCATCAAGCAGGAAGCATACAGTTCAATCCTGCGGGCCTTCAAAGCTCAATCAGATGCTTTAACTTGGGTATTTGTCAAAAACTTCCATTCAACAGATTATCCCATAAAGATTACATGAAGTAACAAAAAGTGTTTTCCTTCTTAGGAGAAAGAAAGTTTAATTACTGAACTCAGAAAGGAGCTGAGAGTATCAGATGAGGAACATAGGGAGCTTCTATTGAGGGTTAATGCTGATGACATGATCCGGAGGATAAGGTCTGATTTTAAAGCATGCTCCTATGAGCATATTTATCATATATATAATGACTTCTGGTCATCTCTCCATTTAATGGGAACCATGATCAATCATTGCTGCTAGGGAATGGAGAATGGCAAGTGGGCTCCAGCCTGGCATGCTCAGTACAAGTCAGCCTATTCTTGACCCTGTACCAAGTCCTACAGTATCAGGATCACGCAAGAAGTTAAAAACATCAGCTTCATTTTCCATGGGCGCACCATCTCCTGCATTGCATCCATCAATGCAAAAACCATCTTCATTGGCCTCTAGACGAGGTCCTCCACCAGGAGCAGACAGCAAGAAGTCAAAATCTGTGAGTTAATTCATTGAAGATACATGGGAAGATTTAATGAATGTGCTAATATTCTATTTCATCTTTTACTGACGTATATTGTCTTGTTGCATCCCCAATGAAGATGACACAGAACCCTTCCAGAGGCCTTCCTGGAAGGTCCAAAGCTCATAATCGTACTTCTTCAGGGGCCTTTGCAAAAAATGGACCTGCTGAAGCAGCACCGTATGACTCATTAATTGGAAAGAAAGTTTGGACAAGGTGGCCTGAAGACAACCATTTCTATGAGGCTGTTATTACAGACTATAACCGGGTTGAGGTATATTCTTCAGTTAATTATAAAGTAAGCTGTTAACAATGGAGCTGTAATACTATGTTTCCATATTGTAGGGGAGGCATGCTTTGGTTTATGATATAAATACGGCAGATGAAGCCTGGGAATGGGTCAACCTCAAAGAGGTAGAACTGTTGCATTTTACTGCTATTTTCATACGTCATTTTTTTTTACTTTGGACGGCCTGATTTACATTTCCATTACTAGATTTTATACAATTTTTAAGAAATCAACTTTTAAGATTGTAGCATATGTTTCTTGGGAACTTTTATGCCATTCATCATACATTGCAGAATTCATGTGCATGGTATATTCCTGTACTCATGAACCATATTTTTCCCAGACGGGGTTTATATCTCGTACGGTTACAGTAAATTGCTATGCACAGCCAATGATTATTTTTATTGTTAAACCTGTATTTTTTCCCTTCTTTTTACTTGATGCTCATTGGAGCAGTAGGAAACTAATAATGGTATATTATTTAGCCACTGCCATATGATCATACTGTACAACGTTAGAATAAGTCCTTTGGATTGTGCTTTCTTGCCGCCCACTGATTTCTTATAAATATAATGGCAGATATCTCCTGAAGATATTAGATGGGAAGGTGATGATCCTGGAATACCCCGTAGAGGTGGCTGCCCTGGTCTAGGCCGTGGGATTAAGAAGTCCTTGGCTTCTAGTGGGGTGGCTGGAGCAGGAAGAGGTAGGGGGAGTTCAAAGGGTCAGGCTAACCAAGATTTTCCTTTGATGCAAAATGGTGTTGGAAACAAGGTTTTGGAGGATATTGAGATACTTCATACAGATTCTCTAATTAAGGAGGTATAACTGCAACTGGGAGATCATCTAATAAGATTTAATTGTCAAATGTGTGTGTGCTTCCTAATTGTGGAAATTTTGAACAGGTAGAAAACGTTTTTGGTGCAAGCCATCCAGATTCCATAGAAATTGAGAATGCAAAGAAAGTACTGAAAGTAAGTATTGTCTTCTAATCTTGTTGCATTGTTCTATATTCTCTATTTCAACAGCAATCGTTATGGATGTTTGCAATTGCAGGAGCATGAGCAAGCCCTAGTTGATGCAATTGCGAGGCTTGAAGGTGCATGTGACGGTGCAAGTGGTAATAACTGATACATATAATCATGTCATAGATAAATAGTTAAAATATGAATGCACCATTTTTTATGTAAACAAGTTTCATACAAAGTTTCCTATTATTTAATGCTGTCCATTTGTCGTCACCTTCCCCTTATCATGAAAATGAAAGCAAGGGGTCAACTTAACTTGTATAAATTGCATAGCTTTTGGTCTTAATCCCGTTTCATCATTTAACTTAAGTAACGGCTGTTCATGAGACATCAACAGCAACAATATGAATATATAGTTCGGGGAAAAAGGGAAACTTGTTGCACATGGAAACGCCTTCAAATCCTAGGGAGCTTTATTTATCTCAATTAATAGGTTACATGGCTGAAAGAAGTTAAGAAGTTACCATTTTTCATATTTATAATTTATTTGATTGGATTCAAAGCAGATGGAGAGCATCCATTCTCACAAGGGCGGTCAATGGACCAAGAAAGAGCATGAAGAAATCGACCGTACAATAATGAGATGGGTGACGATAGACTGATCAAAGGGTCTGATGGCGCAATAAAATGACGGGAGGTGCTCCGTAAGTTTGGTGTAGCGAAATTTAACCAGCTTGTATATACAGTAGCAGTAGCTGTGGGGTTCTTAACTGGGCAAATGCTTTTTGTAATCAATGTTTTAAGCCTTGAGGTCAACGGTCATATGTTTGGTTCCTAATACTCTTTAGTTAGCAGGCTATTGTAACTTTAATCTAACTGTAAATTAGGAAAATATTCTGTATGAAGTTTTAAAATATTACTGTTAAATCTCCCTGACTGTCAAATTTTAAATTCATTATGTTTGCAGCCAAGTTTAGTGGAACTCAATGTTTTCACTTGCATCACGCAGGATGGAAACCAAAGGTCAAAGTTCCTGCAAATTACACATAATTTTCAACGAACAGGGTGCTTGTCCTCCGATACCATTTGGAAATGGCTAACTCCTATCAGGTGTCTTTCATTGTGTCCTGCGGCAGTCTTGAGCTTGTTCTGGAGCTGTTTGACTCCCGTAAATCCATCCCGAGTTCCCATGACGAAGAGTTTCGGTTTCGAGGATTGTAGGATAGCGTTGTGATGTCTACTGAAAAGGATCGAGGCCATCATACCGAAAGGGTATCCCAGACTTGCATACCCCACAACTTGATCAACTGCAGACCCGGCAATTGGAGCCCCTAAAGAAGGCAATAACATAGAAAATAATGAATGATGAATACACACAGCAATTACAGGCACGTCACAAGCCATTAAGCAAGTTGAAGCATAGGGGGGAAACAAACTAATCTAATAAACAAGTCGTTAGCAATTCGCCTTCAATTGGCCTGTACTAAAAGTCCATTCATCCAGTGATCTCCTATTGCGGATAGATACAAAGCCATGTTCATGCCTTCCGAGCCGAACTTTTGTTGTCATTCCCGTCTCATCACCTGCGAAAACTGTATACATTCTCGTTTAATTGGGTGCGAATTAAAGTAGGCCCGCCTGAACCCCATCCTACTAACATCCCTGAAAGGCTAATACCACATCCTTCTCTTGATGGCAAGGTTGTTGTTTCAGAGTTCGAGTATTAGGGATGTAAGATGTGTTAGCGTTCAGTGTAAAATAATTAAAAATTATATTTGAATAGATACTAATAATGTATATATCGTAAATGTATAATTATTCAAACTTATATTTTTTTTAAAACAACACCATCCTCTATCATTACAATTACTTAATAAATTTCATTACTTGTAAATTTTTAAAATTAATTAATCACTAATATGAAAATAAGTTAAATTAATTATACTAATTTTGTTAACTGTTATATCATTATTTTTCGTTAATTGTTAATATCAAGTGATTTGATTGAAATATTTAAATATTTGAATGATCTAATTGATAAGATCGAAACATTGATAGTCAAAATAAAAAATGGATAATAATTGAGGGATTATATTGATATTTTATCCTTAGTAAAATATAATATTTTTTGAAAGAAACAAATTTTAATAAAAATATACCAATGCCAGAAATCTTAGACTACATATTTTTCAAAAACAAAATCATTAAATTTTATAATAATTAATATTGTTTTGTATGTTTTAAAAAGATATTATTTTAAAAATCTAAATTTTTGTAATTATTTAATTACATTTGATGCAATGAGAATGAATAGTACTTGGATAAGGATTCTAAACTACTTCAGAATCTTGCTGTCTGAACTTGTGTAATAAGTAACACGTGAGCAGTCACGTGATCATCAACAACACCACTAGTATTCTTTCCCTGTCATTTGGGATTATTAAATTTCACAATTTTCAGAATATCATCCATCTTTCTATCTATCCATCCAAAATCAACCACTTTTAATTTAAACCTAGCTTCTTTTTCGACCATTTTCCTCTCTGCTTCCGCTCCTCTCACTTTCTTTTTCTTCCTCTTTAGATCTTGTTGCTCAGACAATGGACTTTGGTGGTGGACGCAAGAGAGTGAGGCCCGAGGCTGCCTTCAACGGCAATGGCGGATTCAAAAAATCCAAGCAAGGTGTGAATTTTCTTCTACTTATATGAATATATTGTTTATATCTATGCTTATATGACTGCTTGTGCTATATTTGTGATGGAATGATTATTTCTAGGGTTTGAAGAACCTTTCTTCTGGCTTTTGCCCCCCTTTAATTTGTAATCCCCTCCTCACTTTATTTCTTGGGGTAAAGAGGAAGTAGCAAGCTTCGAATTTGTGTAGTTTAAGAGTGTTTGATTACTTGGAAAGTACTACAAGAGATTTGAATATTGGATTTACTTTTGGTGAATTGATATAAAAATATTCAGCGAATGCACAAGGATACATATAAATTGACTGGTTTATGCTCTAGTATAATAAAACTATGGAAACTTAATGAAAGGGAAAAGGGCAAAAAAGCTTATAAAAAATAAAAGTGAAAAAGAGGACATTTTGAGTTCTGATTTTGCTCATTTATGTCACGTTCGATCACATACACGCCATTGTGGAGTTTTGAAACTCTACAAGCAGCTTTATGCTTGCTGCGTGGAGTTTTAGAAATCAATGTAGAAGTGTTAAGTTAGCAAATCATCTGGCATTTAGTGGAAGTGTAAACCCCCTTTTTTGGTAATGCTCCGTTGCTATGAACATGGAATTAATTACTCTACAATTGGGTTGTTGATTGTCACATTTGTTTAATAACATATGCTTTAGATATTTGTGGTTCTAGTGACTAATTAAACTTGCTTGTTGTAAACATTTTGAATCCTTTGCCAATTAGCAGGGAAGTTTCTTATCCCACTTAGTTTGGATTTCCTGAGCTTAAACAGTAGTGAGTTTGCATGTGATTGTTCTTGTGCGTTATCGCTATTTGTATCATAGTGTTGTTGCATAGCTAGTGTTAAGTTGATTTTTTTCCCCTTATTTTTTTACATCATTATAAGTGATGCCTTACTTTGTTTGCGTATCCAGTGCTTATATATATATATATATATATATTATACTGTTGCAATTTTATAGTCTTGATTTGTCATATACATTTTTGGGATTGATGTATGAAGCAAAGAGATATTTGTCTTAATTTTGATTTCTCAACTGCAAATCATTTGTTGGGGGGGGGGTGTTTTTTCTCTGGGAAACAAAAATAAAAAACATGTTTAAATATTCCTTTTCCCTTTATTCCTTAATTTCTTGAATTATTGTCCTCAAACAGAACATTTTTAAAAGTCTTTTACTGAGTGTAGTTGCAAAGTTGTCAACCCGATATTGAATTTATTAGTAAGTTTGATGGCTCTATTCTTAAAAATGATCTAAATCAATTATTCATATTAGATAAAGCGCATATTTTCTTTTAAAGTACTGATAGGAAATGGTAATAGGGTACTAAATACTTTGTAAAGTTAAAAAATGAATTACTCTCTGAACTTATAACTGAGATAAATTAATTAATGTTCTGCAACAGAAATGGAGTCCTTTCCAACTGGTATAGGAAGCAAATCAAAGCCATGCACAAAGTTTTTCAGGTTCAAATCTTAACCTATCCAAAATAAATAGCCTAATGCACTTCCATCTTCTCTAATTTTATAAGTTCCAAGTAAACTTTTCCTCTGACGACAACCGTGAACCGTCTGAAGTAAACTTTATATGATTATGACTAACTAATTGGTCACTGATTATACAGGTAACGCTCTTGGCTCTAATCATGATAAGAAAGACTATGTGATAAAAATGGTTGGTTTCTTGGTGAATTCTTGGACTAGCAATATGATGGACTATATTAAACATAAAGAGAGTGCATATTAACAGTTTTCTGAGTATGTTTTGGTTGAAAATTCCTCATATTTTTATCACATGAAGATGCTTGAGAAATGATACAGAACTGCTGATGCTTGGTTCTGAAGTCTGAACAACAATAAAGGGTTGTGTCATATTCTCGGTGCTTGTTATTCAATGTAGTAATGCAGAAGATTGCTGTTGTGATTCCTAATGTTACATGCAGTAACACTTATCTCGTAGCATTGCGTCAGCTGGTGTATGCATGAAGAGCTTGGATAAATTCCTACCTGTATCTCATAGACTGAACTAGTACTTGTATTATAGCATTAGCAAAACAGTAGTTCGTTGATATTAGCTTGACATTCTTGAATTTTGTTTATCTCACAGCACTTCTGGGTGCCAATTTGGTGAGAGCTGTCACTTCTTGCATTACGTTCCGGGTGGCATCAAAGCTGTGGCTCAGATGCTTGGTAACAGCTCGACTCTTCCTGCAGCTGCCAGATATTCAGTAGCCCAACCATACTTTCCTGATGGCTCATCTCCTCCAGCTGTAAAGACCCGTTTGTGCAGCAAATTCAGCACGCCTGAAGGTTGCAAGTTTGGTGATAAATGCCATTTTGCTCATGGCGAGTGGGAGCTTGGCAAGCGGGCTGGTCCTGCTTATGAGGATCCTCGTTCCATGGGAACTATGCCTGGAAGGATGGAGCCTCCCTCACCTGGTTTTGGTAGTGCAGCCAGCTTCGGAGCATCTGTCACTGCCAAGATCAGCATTGACGCATCCCTTGCTGGAACTATTATCGGGAAAAATGGTGTGAACTCAAAGCACATCTGTTGGGCTACAGGAGCCAAGCTTTCCATAAGGGAGAATGAGTCGGATCCTAGTTCAAGGAACATCGAGCTGGAGGGAACATTCGATCAGATCAAGCAAGCCAGCGCAATGGTTCGTGAACTGATTTTAAATGTTGGCTCAGCCTCTGGAAGTAGCATGAAGAACACCGGTAAGAGTGGGTCCGGCTCAGGGAACAACTTTAAAACTAAGCTTTGCGAGAACTTTACTAAAGGATCCTGCACTTTTGGTGAGAGGTGCCACTTTGCGCATGGAACTGAAGAATTGCGTAAGACAGGAATGTGAATTCCTAATCTTGTGTTTATATTGATCACAAGATTTCTTTTGCATGTAAGCTGAGTTTATATAATTCCTAAGAATGTAGCACTTTAATTATTAATTGAAGATTTTAGTTGATATCATTCACTACCTATTACGAGTGTATATATAAAAAATATTTTTCTCTTTTAAAATAAAGGAGAGATATAGAGAAAATAGAGATAGATGTATCTATTCTTATTTTTCTTTCTTCAATTTTATGAGTACATGAACCCCATATACATAGGGATGAGGAATGCTCTCTAATAATTATAATATATGTGAAGAGTCAAATCCTTTGGTATTTCATCTTCTCAATTCATTGAAGAATACTAAAAACCACATTAACTAATAGGATTAATAATGACATCCACATAATATATTTATAACACTCCCCCTTGGATGCCCATTATTTAATTGTGTCTCATTAAAAACTTTACTAGGAAAAACCCAGTAGGAAAAAAGCCTAGTAAAAAATACATAATTA